TGAGATCCGGCGGGGTTGGCAGTGTCCAATGCGGTGGGTGCACAGGGAGTACGAAGTCGGGGACATCCACCTCCTGCTGCCGAAGCATACCCGCGAAGACGAGCCCCCTGACGTCCTCCAGCGTCGCGTGTCGTGGTAACTTGAACTCAGGGGCATCCTCCAGGTTCACGTCCGCAGCCGTGTCGCCTGCGTCTGGAGCTTTAGACTCTGAGTTCGCGTCACCAGTTTCCTGGGCTGCAGCGTCAGCCGAGGCAGTGCCATCGGCCTCGCGCATATTCGCGTCAGAGGTTTTGCCCGCGTCGCCGGAGAAGGAGACGCGCTTAGTTTCCCCCGTCCTGGTGACGCCCGCCGAAGTGTTGCTGGACGCTGAGTTGCCCGCCTGGTCGCCGCCGCCGCCCGCTGGAGCGGTGTTCGCAGGAGCGTCGCCGGTGCGCTGCTGCGTCGGAGGTGGCGCGCTGCAGGGGGGCGCCGTGCCTTGAGCTGGCACCGTCGCTTGCTTGCCGTCCGAAGGCACGCTCTCCGCCATGTTGATGATCTGTGAAATGGCGATGTGACCGCGCATTGCCCGTTGGAGTTTTTGCGTTTGAGAAGAGAACCTTGAAGATAGGTCCTGACCAACCGTTGGGTAGACAGGGTGTCGCCAAAGTGAGTGAAATCCTGGGAGTCGACAGAGTGCGACGGCCGTATCGAAGTCGACGGTGGATCGCCCTCTGTGTTTGTGTGGCCTGGCCATGATTCACCGGTTCGGAGTTATTGCCTCTTTGATATACCTGGACCAGGAGGGGCGGTTGACACGAGGCGGTCCCCAGAAAATCGCCGACGATGTGCCGCCACCCTTTGGACTTGGAGTTTGTATTGGATGCTGATTGGTGGATGACTTGGATACGGCGCGGCTGTACCCGTGTGACATGGATGGCGACTGTGGGAGAGAAGTGATTTCTCGGGGTGAATCCAGCGCCTGACCACAGATGGGCCCAACTGGCTGGATGTGTGAATCCTGGGAGTGCACGCCCAGGATTTCAGAGAACACTCATTCCAGCCGCGGACTTTCCCTTACGATGAGTGCCTAAAGTCTGGTGGAAAGTGTCTCTGGCGAATGTATCCCAGAGTACACCTCATCTTGCTGTGGCTCAAGTAGTATATAACATCATAAAATGAGGTTAGTTTTTCCCGAAATATGACATTAGCGAGATTTCTTGTTGAAGCTCTACATCATTAGAATTTCAAGTGATATAAAGTTGTTCAGACCCGGTTTAGATCTCCTACAAGCAACGCTAAAACGTGGTAAAGTTCCAAGGTACCCACCTTCACAAATCAAAATCCAAATATTTGTCAAGGTACCTACCTTCATGAAACGAAGGCAGTTTTTTCGCCAAGGTACCTACCTTCATAAAACGAAGTCAGTTTTTCTCAAATTTTTACCAAGGCATGAAAGATCTAAAACCGATAGTTAGGAGTTTCCTTATAGCAGCGACCTTTTATAGATAAATGGTTTCGTAACCAATGCGATCTTAAGATCTCGTGTTCATGCTAGAAGAGTAGGGAGTGCTCATTCTGCATTCTACCAAGTCAATCAGCAGTCAAGATGAACCCGTCCAACCTACAGCAGGAGATGGATGCTCTCAACACTCGCGGAGCAGAGCTCAAGAAGATGATCGATGACACGCATCCCGTCGCCCGCATCGCAGAAGAGAAAGCGAAGAAGTTTGCGAGCGACTATAAAGGGGTTCAAGCAGAGGAGGCTGAGAAGATAGCGGAGGCGAGTGCTAAAACTGAAGAAAAGGTGAGGAAGATGACTGCAAAACTCAAGGCGGCCAAGGAAGAAGCCCAGCTGACGAGTCTAAAGCGAGAATGGCTCGTCAAGCGGGAGAAGGCGTTCGGTGACATGGATCGTGCGCGCAAGGAGAATGTGGATATATCAAGCAAGCTGATAGAGCTCGAGCGTCAGTACCTGAACACCCAGCGCCACTACCAAGAGCTACGCGATCAACTCCAGACGGTCAACGGTGTTGCTGACATCAAGCTGGAGTAGCTGTAGCAGGCAATTTGCAATGAATTAGGTAAAATATTAAATGCGGATTTTACCTTAAAATTTTCAATTATATAAAAGTGAGTCCATCTCAAGCGACGAAATGATAAAATATATAACATATAATACGATGACTGTGCTTTGGCATGGATGTAAAAGCTGTTTAAGGACGAATTATGGTTGCGGGCATCATAAGAGAACTATAGCTATGCAACGTACTGTGAGAGCATTAAGAGTTCTTAGGATAGCAGATAGGGATGGATCGTTTCATGAACTGATCGAGCTGTTAGTGGACTTCTCAAGGCGACTAGATAATAATGCAGATTGGAAGGAATTATTTAATAAGTGTGTTCCATACATGTGGCAATATGAATAATTTATAATTTTTTGGCTCAAAATCGAAAATGCATTTAATTATCTTCATTTCTGATAATTAATTTCCATTAGTATATAACACAATATCACATAATACAAAATAATTAATTATGGTTTACGTTCGCGAAAATTATGAGCTTAACAAGGAGGCTTTTAAAGCAGCTCAGAAGCGTTACTATCTAAAGAATAGAGAGCAGCGTCTAACTAATCAAAAGGAATATAATGAGTTGCACAAGGAGGAGCTAGCGCAACGCAGAAAAATCAGAAACCAAAACAAGAAACTAAAATCGAAACTTCCCACGAGAATTGAGGTTTCGAACGAAGTAGAGAGTGAAAATGACAAAGAAGTGTAAAATTATATATTAATATTTTTTTATTTTTTATAAATATAAAAGACCCATCCTGAGAGATAAAATCTTATAAAATATAGTAGAGCGGATATACAACGACGATGTTTGGATATGAATTAGAAGGACTTAAGCGACTTGGGGTTACATGTACCAAGTGGGGTAGTAGTTTCCGTGTTAAGGTGCTTGGACGCACCAAGAAAATGGTTTACATCAGCAATGTTGGTAACCCGAAAAATAGAGAATTGATTGCTAAGCAGTACAAACTATCTATGAAGAAACTAAACACTCATCTGTCACCTAACTACAAGGGGGACCCTTACTACCGGTTTTATCAAGGTAAACTTAAGGAATCGCATCTATATGAGAATATTTCTCCATCAGAATTGTATGATAAGCTAGAGACTATTCTCAGCTCTCAGTTGAAGGCGTTCAAGATCAATATCGCTCTTGGATACGAGTTGGAGAGTCTCAGTGACGGTCAGAAACTATACTGGCATCCTAGTCTATCGAGCACCAACGTCTTCGACAAGCCTATCACGGTTAACAGTAAATCTGACATTCGCAAGAAAGTCATTCCTGAAATCAGAACGATGGAGCGTGCTGATAGGTTAAAATACCCAAAATCTGGCTACAAATTAAAGGCTATCACAGGATTCAGAGTATACAATTATAAGCGTAACTATACGCTAGGTGATAGCGCCGCTGTTATTCCGAAGGAGTTCCGCGATAGTATACATATTATCAATTTCCCCAAGACGAATAATAAATGTGTCTTCCACTGTATTGCTTACCACGGACTAGGAATTGCAAAACAAAATCCTAGAACGATTCAAGTGCATGTGAAAGCTGCTTTCAAGAAGTATTGCGAGTTTAAAAACATTGAATACAGTCTCAGCCTGTTTCGTAGTTTTAAACCGATTGATATCTTCCACTTTGACGAGCTTGAGGAGTGTTTCAAGCTTGCTATCAATGTATACAGCAAGGATGTATCCAGCGGTGAAGTTAAATGCGAGCGCGAATCAGAGAAGGCGTACAACGTTCTAAACATCCTATCACACAGCAACCGCGCGTTGTACATCAATAATATGGATAAGTTCATGAGTAAATATTTATGCTCAAAATGTGAAATGATTTTTGCGACCTCTACGAAGCTGAACGACCATCAAAAGAATCAATGTGATAAAACAAATATTATGTCATTTGCTAAGCAACCAACGATCTACCAGCCTGGCAAAAACTTTGCATTTCAAATGATGCAGAAATATAAAGTTCACGACGCTACTCCTTATAACGACCATTTCATCGTATATGACTTTGAATCTATCTTGAAGCCAACTAACATTCAGTCAGGAGAGAATACTGTCTTCATGAATGAGCATATTCCTGTCAGTGTTTCAATTCTTAATACGTTGACGAATTCATATTTCTGTATTGTAGAAGAAACCCTACCTCCAGAATAGTTCGTCCCTCCCATTTTTTACCATGCCTGTGGTGAATGGGGGACTCGACACTACCACTGTGGAGTTCAATCTTACTGGGGCAAGCCCCCACGCTCGCGTGGAACTAGACCAAGATGTGCTAAACCAGACTTTACTTCCGCCACAGCACGTTGAGATGAACCACATGAACACGTACCAGCCTACTCATGCGCCGCCAAGATCCTGGGGGTATGCAAACAGAAAGCCATTTTAATTGGTTTAGATACTGCATTTATATATACTTCATTGATTAGTTCTTATTGAAATCTATTGATTGACTTGGTACTAAACCGCGAGCAAGTGTTATGCAATATGCTTGTTCTCATGTTGCTCCTATCTTGGTCACACACATAATGCATACTGTTCGACTGATCGAAGTGCGGTGCTATCTCTGCTTCAATGTCGGTGTGCGAAGACAACATCAACTTACTCTGTACTTGCTCTTCTTCTTTTGCATTGTTTGGTGGCGTTGGAGCGCGCTGTTTGTAATGTAGTGGGGGTCCTAGAGGGCTTATCACTTGTAGCAACCATCAAGGCGACGATACCATAGCATCCATTATGTTACATGTAAGATAGAGCGGAATGTGTACCCGTTCAGGCGCAACGTTTCTCTAAATATCAGTATTGCATAGAATGCACTGTGAGCAGCTCATCGGAGGATTTTTATCCGCAGATCACACCAGTCCCTTCAAGTGGAATAATTACCAGGGAGCTTAGCAACAAACTGTGTGAAGAAAAGCCAAATTTATTCTCGCGTTCACTATGTCATACTGAGTCTCATACGATTTCTTATGCCGTCCGGGACGGTTTAAGCGTTTTTTTATACCGTCCATGTCACCCCTCCGCGTCCAAGGGGTTAAGAGCGACCCGGAGATCAAAGTATCTTCCACCAAGCGTATCCCTAACGTTATCGATCTAAATCAGGGTTCGTATCAAAATGGAGTTATCACTATTGATGCCACGGCTCAACTTAATGGTTCGGAAGGATTCGCGTGCCTTCGTGATGCTTGCATTATGCTACCGTACAAGGTTTCGATGAAGAATGGTGCCACTGCACAAACGGCTGCCGCAAATCGTTTCTGCGCCACTCTTAATTGTGGTAATTTCAATGTAATTGACTCGATGTCGTTGGAGTTAAATGGTAAGACTATTATTTCGATGGCGGACTACAAGTTATTCTGGAATAATGTTCGTGCTCAGACAGGATACAGTCCTCAGTACGTTGAGAAGCATGGTGCAGAGTCGTTCCTATACCCTGATGCTGCTCAGTCGGTATCGTACAGTTCTGGTTCCGCTTCTACTAGTGGTGATGGATATTCTAACACTATGGCTTTCTCGTCATCGTTTAGTACTTCCGCTCCTCCTGGTGGTGCAACTATCCCTAATGACGGCTTCGTTAAGCGTCTACTATCGAATCCTCCGACAGCAGGCGCTGATTTCTCTAGCAGTTGGCCTTCGGTAGGTGCTGCTTCTGCTTCTACTACCATTTCCAATCAAACGGCTCGTGGTGCTTTTGTTGCTGGCGCATCTACTGCTAACGCTATCATGGGTACGTGGAACTACATGCTCTAGATTAAATTAACTGATCTCCACCCGATTTTCCGTGAGCTCGATTTAATGGCTAACCCTCAGATTCGGCTTCGTTTCCGCGAGAATCAGGATTCGTCTGCTATCGCTGTTGGTGCTACCAAGGGTATGTCACTTACTTCGACCACTCTGTCATCCGGCAATACTTGTCCGGTAATGGTTGCAAGCTCTGCTAGTGGTAATCCGCTGAATGGTGTACTTGCCGCTTCTGCAGGCTTCAGTGTTGCTTGGGGTGCTGTTGTTAACTCTCGTGAGCCTATGATTGATGGTACTTACATGCCTTTTACTACAGCTCGTCTATATGTACCGTTCGTCAACCTTGAAAACCCTCAAGCTATCATCTCTAAACCAGTTAAGAAGGTTCGCTACAATGATTGCTATGCTCAGTGGTTCTACCAACGCGCCGGCATTCGTAAGCAATCGACTCAGCTTAATGCATCGTTTGATCTTCAGCTATCGGCTTCGGTTAAAAATGCTAAGTATATCGTAGTATTACCATTCGCTGAACAAACTAACAACTTCGCATCTGCTGGTGTTCCACAGTTCCAGAGCCCATTCGATTCCGCCCCATGGACGCTTCAACCTGGATCTTCGATTCGAAACTTTAATATTCGCATTGGTTCATCTCAGACGTTTGATCTCAATCATGAGTATATGTATGCAGTACTGCTTGCGGAACAAAGGCGAATAAGAACAGAACGAGAACAAGCTTCGGATAGCAATAAGCGCAGACACAATGACGAAGATAACCAGCCGAGTCGGAAACGTCGTAAAGTTGATAGACAGCGGGAAGCAGAGTATCAACGCCTTCACCGGCTTCGAAACCAAGCATGAAGAGACGAGACTGCGTTTTATACCTCCGCGGAGCTCGATGCAATGGATAGCACTTTAAACATTAAGGAACCAACCGAGGTAGACCTAG